TGGCAAGAACAATATCTCACGAGTGACCAAAGCGAACGAGTAAGATATTGTTCTTGCCACGAGAACATAAAATTCATATCTTCAAGCTAACGTGTAATCTTCTTTTTATTATATTATGTAGACATACTGATGACGGCGCTTTTGACGATTTTCCGAAGATTTCCGACCACTTTCCGAAGATTTCCGAAAATTCTCTAAAATTTGCCCGAAGGTCACACGAACGTTGTCGAACATTTTTCGAAATTTTCCGAAGATTAACGAAGATTTCAGAAGATTGCCGAAGACTTTCGAGGAACACCCGAAGATGTTTCGATCACACACCAACAAATTTAAGTACAACTTAAAGAGACAAACTTGATATCAGTGAAATCATCGATATGCTATCTTCACTAGTGAGGATATGGAAAATACGCCACACGAGTCCCGTATTTTGTTTCGTATGAATTTTACGAGTGGTGTATTTTCCAGTAAAACACTCGTGCCTGTATAATGAAAACGCCTTTGGAGGAAAGAAACCTGACTGCTTTGTTTTGTCTTCGTCGGAAAGAATACGAAAGTTGGGTTCATAATACATTTTTCAGGCTACTCGCTACAGGAAAAAGACAAGACACGAAGCTAGTGGTTTAGATTGATTATGGCCACCGAGAACGGAAAAACCCAGTGTTTGATTGCGGACGGCCTTTTCTCTGTGTATTTTGTGAGACAACCGCGATCACGAGATATGGGAAGTTCACTATTTTAACCAAACAATATGTAAGTTTTGGTTGATCTTCAAATGGAACAGTACTTTTCCGGAAGATTCGTTTGGAAACTGTCAACCATGACAACTATTTTCAGAGGTGTTGCTCTTTTTCACTTGTTTTTCGTTCGAATCTGAACGTTGGATTGGTTGGAAATCTCCTTACCATTTGGACAGTTCAGTTGCAGTCTTCCATCACCGAAAACCATACGGTACGGCATACTCTGGACAAGAACAAGAGAGAGCGCGACCGATAAAAATAGAGTACGGATAATTTTAAACGCATCACGCTACACGGCCTGCGTATTTCACGCGGAAAATTCCGCGTGATACAAAGGACTGAATGGTTTCTCTAACCAGGTTAACTGAATCAGTTAGAGGGATGCTGTCACCTTACTGAGTTGATGGGTTAAACAGCAAAAAAATAAACTCCGCTGTTCGTCTTAGGCATAATTTACGCAGGAAACGCTTCAGAAAATTCAGCTGAAAAATTTGCTTAGTTCGGCATATGGAAAAGATGAAATGCTCATAAGTCATTAAGATGCGGTGGCCTTACTCGTTCAAGCTCAAAGTCTAGTAGAGTTACGTAGTCATTAAAAATTAGCCTAAACCCCAAACTGTTCTCTTATTAGTCACGGGTCAGACTTCGCTAACAGACAAAATTAATTCGCTAAAACGAAACTAGAGCTGGTAGGAAGTATACGTGATGCAGTTTAGTAGAGTGTCGACAAACTAAAGGCATTGAATGGGTGAATCAAGAAAAACATTTATTATTTAGGCCTGAACTAAAAGTCTGAAGTCTTTGAATTTTCTTTTACTTACTAACTAAAATTCACTTAATAAATTTCTTTAGTAAAAAAAGCATATCGTAGAATTCTGGCAAATGATCATTCCTCCAGTTCAATGACCCTAAGGTAATGACCCTTGTGAAACTGAATACATGCATTTTTATTGAGACGAAAATATGCCAGGAAAATATACATTTTCCTTTCTTGCCTGTAGAAGTCAAACATTAGATTTCAAGCATGAAGTTGAACAAATACTAAGATAACCTTTCATCTTAGTAGGATCTCGAGAATACTACTAGCAAAGAATCGATCTCTCAGACTAAAAGGAACAGTCATTCCTTGTTAAAATTCAAACCGCAACGCATGAGGAAGTCGAGGAAGGAAGTCGTTTCATTACTGCATACAAACAAGAACCGAGACCTGAACAGACTGCGCGCTTGAGTTGTTCAGTATATTATAAGATGTAAAAGGTTTCGTAAGGTGCATAACTCGTCAAGTTCTAGAAATTATGGTCATTATTATCAACAAACATTTCGCATCGGAGGCTTGCAATAAAAAACGGCTCATCAGTCCCACGATGTTTTCATGTCAATTTAAGAAGTGCCGGTGGAACAGTTTTGAATAAACATTGTTTCAAAATAATGGTTGTTGTCGTGTCAAAAACATCCTGCTTAATCTTATGTTTCACTCTGATGCCTTACTCAACGCTTTAAAATATGAACGTAGTTTTTAGTCTTTATACGTGGGTTATAGCTCCTGGATATATATATATATATCAGCCTCACTTCCCGGTCCTGCGGCTCAATCATAAGGAAGTCAGTAAACAAAGCATAGAAGTTACAAACTCTAATGAAGTTATACAAGTAGCCAGTACACATAAGTATGCTTAAATCTTCTGACAGTATTCCCCTAATTTAATACTAACTGGACACAGAAGAAAATACCTGTAAAAACTCTTCACCAGCCTGAAGGGCAAGTCAGCGGGTAACAGGATGTAGGCGCTTCAAGTGATCTAGTCGAAGAACGAGCAGTACGTCACCAGACTATTTCGGGAACGCGGAAAATGCTAGATAACTGCAACCCAAATGTCTCCGAAACAAGGAA